GGTATGATAAAACCATGAATTATCTCCATTCAAATTCATATATATATATATATCTCAGCATGATTTTAAAAGAATATATCAAACAAAACCAACAATCTTTTAAAACCTTGACATTCAACTTGGAGTTCAAGTTCCCCTGGAGGGCATGGGGCAAGCAAGGCGTGGGAAGGTATGCAAAGCTACAACTCTACCTGGAGTGTCAACTTTACTAAAAAAAAGGTATTGGGGGAAATTACTTAAAAAGTATCAGAATAAACTTGGATACACGATAGAGCAGAAGGCATAAATCTCATGGCATGCTGAAGATATAACAGAAGATTTCTAAGAAATGTTGGACTTCAGGTGGGCTGCATCTAACTACAGCTCAGACCTCAACTCAACAGGGGTGTGTGTCCTCTGAGGACTGGCATTTGGGACACCTCCCTTGGGAATGTTCTGGAGGGCTCTTTGGTTTGCCTCTAACAAGGATATCTTGAAGGTTGGTTTTGTTCCCATAGAGATGGGTCAGTGGAGAAGACAAGACGGTGTTGATTACCTGGTAGAAAGTGGTGAGGTCAAACTCCTTCAAGACCCTGTCTACCTCTGAAACCAGGTCCAGGAACTGGGCGTGCCCTGAGGTGACCTCGAGCCCGACAAAGGTCCTGGGGAGGCAGAGGTGGAGACAACATAGGCATGAGACACAGCCACTGAGAACACAGACCATCCACACTGGGGAGGATGGGACAGACAGCTGGGAGTTCAGCTCGCTTTCCTGCTCTAGGAGCCGGCTCTTTCTTTTGGCTAGCCACACATCTCCCCTCCTTCCCCAGGGCTGAAGAACCCTCGTCTTCACCTGCCACCTGCCATGGCTGAGGCTACAGAGCCCCAAGCTTCTGCGCCCAGGCTCCCAGCCATTGCTCTGCAGTCTGGACACTTTCCCCAGGGCCGGCCCTCTGGCACCGGCTCCCTCCTGTCAGCACTCTCATCTTTACACCCTCACCCTTGAACCCACATCCTCAGCCAGCCCCCACACCCCATTCTCGGTGAAGCTTCTGTTCCAATGATTTGTCTACCTCAACTGTCTCTAACTGCTCCCGTCAAAGCTGCCAACCACCTCTGAACCTTCCCTGTTCTCTAAACCGTCAAGGGCTGCACAACCCGGTCCCCCTCATCCGCTCCGTCTGCACGCCCCAGCAGGCGGGTCTCACTCAGCCCTGCTTCCAACATCACACAGTCCGACGGCTCCCAAATTTCTATCTCCGCCTGGCACCCCTCTTATATATCCAATTGTGGGTGTGACATTTCCACCTGGGGGTCTCATAGGCAGATTTTACCAGCTACAAAGCAGAACTTCTGATGTTCCTCCCATTGGTGTTTCCCATCACGGAAAATGGGGCTATTATTTACCCAGTGGTTCAAACTCCAACCCAGGAATCTACTTTGATTCTTCTTCTTACTTTGCACAGATCCAACCTGTTGGTAATTCCAGTTGATTCTACCTCCAGTGCATTGGGAATGTGTCTGCTTCTTGGCTCTTCCACTGCCATCTCCCTAAGCTAGGCCACCGCTGGTGCCTCACCTGGATGGTGACATCTGTCTCCTCTGCTCTCCAACCTCGCTCCTTTACATCTCTGGTCTACCCCGTAGCCACAGACATCATCGAGCCAAACTGACATTAACAAACAAATTAGATCACGTCTCGCCTCTGCTCAAATCCCTCCAATGGTTTCCATGACACTGAAAATCCAAACTCCTTACCTTGACCTTGACTCCTTACCTGCATGGGCTAATCCCACCTGACTCATCTCTTGCTCTCCCCCGCGCTCCCCAGGTTCCGCTTCACTGGCCTCCTCAAACATGCCAACCTCCTTCCTCCCCAGAGTCACCTCGGTGGCTGTGTCCTCTGCTGGGAGGCTCCTGCAGCAGCTCTTCCCAAGGCTGATCCCTTCTCATCCTCAGGTCGCTGGCAAGTGCACCTCCCTAGTGCCCACCTTGGCCATCCGCTCCAGATTAGCTATCGTGTCACACAGCAGTTTTTAACAATCTCATTCACTTGTTCATTGCCTGTCTCCCCTGCAGAATGTAAGACTCCAAAGAGCAAGGATTGTGCCGACCCTTTCACTGCTGATCTGTCGTGTATAGCAAGTGCCTGGCACGAGAAGGTGCTTAACAAGTTTGTGCAGCATAGAATGAATGAATGAGCCCTCCTCTCAGAGGTGCTGAGAGCAGAAGGCAGCTCAGGGAGTGGATCCGACAGGAAGGCTTGCTTTGAAGCCTTGATCGTAACAATTTCATCTCACGTTCATCTCATACTTTAATGCTTTGACAAAACTTGTTTGGTTCATCTGAGCCTCACAAGTGCCCGATGATGATGGCGGCGTCAGGGCAGGCACATGACCGCTTGGAAATGGAAGGTCACAGAGGTCGAAGGTATGAGCTCAGCATTAAATTGGAGACAGAGCTGGGCAGGGACCCAGGTTTTCTTTCACACTCAGGCTTTTTCCACTAAACAAAGATGTTCTCTACCTCTGCTCCTCCTCCTGCGCTCCCTGCGTTATTTTTCTTAATGAAAGGTTCAGACTTGGAAACAGCTGCCTTTGTAGTCATAGAGCTGGTTAAGACACAAACAAGCGAAAAACTGGGACAGATAAGGCCCCCTCGAGTCTTTATTCTAAAGAATCCTCTTCCAGAAACAACTGGGGGCAGAGCGGGGAGACCCACCTGGTTTTCTCTTGATTGGTGTAAATCTTTACCCGGTCAGCAGTAAAGCAGAATCTGAAATTCAGAAGAAGAAAAACCACATTTCAGGAAGAAGAATAAGAAAAAAAAATTAGAGAAAACCGTTTGTATTAAAAAAGAGCACTTTGAAAGAAAAAAGAGTACTTTGAAAACATAGTTAACTCATTTCACAGTATTGTCACCCTATTTTTACAGGTGGTAAGTTGAACTCTAAAATATTAGATCTGGACAAGACCTTAAATAATCACCCAGTCCAGGTCACACAGAGCTTCACTCAGATGCTAGAAAAATTTTTACTTTATTAAGAGCAGTTTATTCCAATAACAATTTGAGACTATCTCAGCTTTACTGATAGGAAATGAGAAAGTCTTGTTCATCAGGTGGGTGATAATAGGTCATTTAAGGGCCAATTTGTTCTTTGCAGGTTAAGACAATTCCGACCCAGTCTAAGCAACAAGAGCCTTTCTGTGTGCCTGGGCTGAGCTGAGGGCCTGCACATGTCAGCTGGGGACCCTCCTACGACTCTGAAGCAGGCACCATAATGACCCCATGTTACTGACGTGGAAACAAGCTTGGTGAGTCACAATCTGAACTTCAATCTGCCTGATTCCAGAGCCCTTGCTCTCACCTATGATGCTTTGGTGAAAGGGCCTTTGTTGGTGTGAAACTGGGGCAACCACCCACCCACTCTCCCCTCAGATCAGCCACACAGGGCTGTCAGGCTCAGCCAGGTGAGTGCTCTGACTCTGGCTGGTCCCGCTTGTGTTCTCTTGGACACCAGGAGATCTCAGAGGGACAGGCTGGCTTCCTGCCCTTCCCGGACCAGCTTGCAAATCCCATTACAGGAAACGCTCACTTTACAGGCTCCAGGCCAAGGTCTCACCCCAACCTGAGGGAATGCCTGCCCACCCTCCCCCAACCCTGCACTTGCCGGGTAGAATTTCACAACCTATCCAAGGGCGCAAAGTCAGTCAACTTTTGGCTTCCCTATTGGCCTTCAGTCTCTTAGTGCATCCCTCTGGGGAAAACGTAAGCGGTGACAGGACCAGCAGAAGCGTAAGCACAGAGTGCCTGACAAACGTCCTGGAGTGGACACGGGGTGTCTGTGCCCAACTGTGACGGTAATTCTTTGTGTGACTTGACTGGAGTAAGGGATGCCCGGACAGCTGGTAAAACATTGTTTCTGGGGTGTCTGTGAGGGTGTTTTGGGAAAGATTAGCAATTAAATTGGTGAGCTGAGTAGAGCAAATGGCCCTCCCCAACGTGGGTGCGTGTCATCCAACATGCTCCGGAACAGAACACAACTGCAGAGGAAGGACAAACGCAAACTCTCCCTGCTTGAGCCAAGATGTCCGTCTTCTCCTGCCCTTGGACACCGGCATTCCTGAATCTTAGGCTTTCAGGCTCCTACTGGGACTTACACCCTCAGCTCCTCCCCACCCCCTCCCTGGTTCTCAGGCCCTTGGACTCACGCTGATTTACACCCCTGGCTTTCCTGGTTCCCCAGCTTGCTGAGGAAGCTCACCGTGGGACCCGATCTTCCGAACTGCGCGAGCCATTCCTACAATAAATTTCCTTCTATCTCTGTATCTCTCTATCCTATTGGTTCAAAGTCTCTGGAGAACCCTCATATAGATTTTGGTACTGAGACCAGTTTTAGAGGTTCAGAATTTTAAGGATGAGTTTTCTGAATTAGTTCTGGCGTTTCTGGAATTCACTCTCTAATCTGATTAGATTCAAAGACACTAACGACTCTATATCTCCAGTAGAAAAGAGAGCACTGATAGTCCAGGCATGAACTGTTTATAGAGATGTGAAAATACACTCATGGGATATTCCTCATCAACCACTGATTAGAAGCAGGGAGCTAAGTGACCCTATATGGTACACTCACACATTTTTGGAAAACTAAGGAATATAATAACATTGATTGGTTGCTCCTAATGTTACTGGACATAGTAGTGAAATAAAAAGACAAGCTCAGGAAACTGAATTCCCAACTCCAGCATAAAGGACCTAAGGGCCTCCATGTGTGCCCTAAAGGAGGCCCTTCTCTCTTGTTGCTACAGGGCTGAAATTGCTGAAAATCAAACTCAGGAACTTATTCTCCCATTGGCTGAATTACAGCACAAGTTGAACCCCTTGGCCATGCAGGATGTCCCAGTTAAACTGGGGGCACTGACTGGGAAAGAGTGGGATCCTGTGAGCAGGGAAACCCTGATGAAGTGGGGGCATAGTGCCCTTAAATTCCGATGAGTCTTCTCTGCCAATGGAAGGGTCCTCCTCACCTAGAGTGTCAGAGATCTTCCCTTCCACCTGAGGGGGTTCACCCTGCCTTGCCCAACGAAGCGGTAACGGTCTCCCCTGAGGGCAGATGCCAAGAAAATGTCTCCTCAGGACCCACCCCCATCACCCCATCTCGCTTCTAGACCTGTAATGAGACTCAGGTCCCAGCAAACCCCTAAATTAGGTGAGGTACTATGTGTGACCCACCAGGAGATGTGCTACACTCCAGAACTACTTGAGTTTTCTAATTTATACAAGCAGAAATCCAGGCACCGTGTGTGGGAGTAGATTTTAAAGGTGTGGGGTGATGGTAGAAGGATCATTAAGTTGGACCAGGCTGAATTGATATGCGCTCAGTAAGCAGAGATTCAGCATGTAATGGTGCAGCTTGGGGAGTTAGAAAGGGATCTGTTTTTTGAGTTTGACAGCTGAAACGTGGACCAAAAGGTGTCCCACAGTGAATGAACTGGAAATACCTGGCCCGCAAGGGGGGCGTAGTTACCAAAATGGACAGCAGAGTCAAAGCAGCAATCAGAATAGTCTGACTCGTGCAGACCTACGGCATTGGCTAGCTGATCATGGTGTTCCCACAAGTGAAATGGATAGGGAGCTTACTAAATTCTTTCTTCATTTGAATAAGCAGAGGAGTTTTAGGCAAAGTGCACCAAAGTCTAACTTGAATTATAAAGACAGAGTCCTGGCCCCTCAATTCCCAGGCTTGAGCTAATTCCCAGACCCAGAGCCCCTTAAGTGAAGGGGAGGCTGGTTCCCCTTGAGGAAGGACCCTGGTCCACTACTACAAATTTATATTGTTAATCTTTCTCCCAGCCTTCCCCAAAGGGACCTATGGCATTTTACCAAGGTAACTGTGCACTGGGGAAAAGGAAATAACCAGCCTTCCCAGAACTACTGGACACTGGCTCTGAACTGACACTAATTCCAGGAGACCCAAAATGTCACTGTGGTCCCTCACTCAGAGTAGTGGAGGTCAGGTAATCAATGGAGTTGTAGCTCAGGTCATCTCACAGTGGTTCCCCAAGCCCATCCTGTGGTTATGACTGTAGTTCCAGAATGTATAATTGGAACAGACACACTCAGCCACTGGCAGAATCCCCAAACCGATTCTCTCTCCTGTGGAGTGAGGGCTATTACGGTGGGAAAGGCCAAGTGAAGCTGTTAGGGCTGCCTCTACCCAGGAAAATGGTCAATCAAAAGCAATACCATATCCCTGGAGAGACTGCAGAGCTCAGGGCCACCATCGAGGACCTGAAAGGTACAGGGCTGATAATTCCCACATCTCCATTCAACTCTCATTCTGTCTGCACAGAAGATAGATGGATCTTGGAGAATGGTAGTGGATGGTCATAAGCTTAACCAGGTGGTGACTTCAACTGCAGCTGCTGTTCCAGATGTGGTTTCATTACTTAAG